GAGAGAATTGAGTCATCTACTTTGACGCCCTAGTAACCTCGCAGACCGAATTAAATCTAACGTTGGTAATTTTGGTAGACTCCTTTCTTTGTCTTTACCATTCAACTCCAAAGGTGAAATTCGTATTTCTCCAATTAAACAGCAATTTATTTCGTTACGAAGAAGTACAGAGAGTTTCAGGACTATTATTGATTACTAACATCTTCGAGTCGATAAGTTCCCTGTTTTTCACGACAGGCCCGTCAGTGGGAAAGATTGGTCATACGCGCGAGAGTGTTGCCTTTGAGGCTTTCAAAGTACAAACCATTTCAGTACACAAAATGAGTGAAATATACACTATAAGGCCACCGAACGAGGTAACAAGATCAAAATGGAAAAAAACATCTAATCAACAGTTTACCATGCGTGCTGGTTAAACAAAAAGAATTAACGAGCCTGAACAAACACAGTCGCGAATAATTGTGAACGAATCAATAGAATACAGACTGTTAATAATCTTTTGAAACGATGCAACAGAACCAAAGATGAGACTACAAAATTTGCTCTACATAACATCATTTTGCCTAGGATATCCCTTTAAAATACATTTTATAAACATGAATATCGGCGATTAATTTTCGCATTTTCACATATATCGAGCCAAAATGTGTGTTGAGTGTAGTACATATGACGGACAATTCAAAGACTTTAGCCAAAGTAATTAAGATGCCACAAGAAATATAATTCTCGCTCAGTTTATCTGAGAGAAAAATGTTTTTTTTTCTATCGAGCACTTGTTTAATTTGACTCACTGACACATTCAATAGTAAATTCTAAAAAAGAATTTAGCAAAGCAACAAACTGATGAGCATGATGTTAAATTTTAAATTTTTGCTATTAAAAAGAATTAAAGGTGTGAAAAAACGGATCCCGCCCCATGTTATATAATTTTACTCCGTGTACTATTATGTAACTGTAGGAGACTAAACCAAACCTTTCAGTCAAGTACGCGATGTATATTTTGCCTTGTTTTTTTCTCATAGAAATATTTAAATTAGGTCCATAGCATGTTCCTGGTTATTAGTATTCTGTAAAGGTGTGAAAAAAACGGATCCCGCCCCATGTTATATAATTTTATTGCGTGTAGTATTATGTAACTGAAATATTTAAATATAGCTTCGTAGCATTTTTCTGGCTATTAACGAACATGCAACGGAAAAGTTAATAATTATGTTTTTAAAAAACTTAAATAAAAATTGTTATTCTTTTCTATTAAAAAAATTATTTTTAGTTTTTTCAGTTGTTCTTGCCTCAAAAATCGAGATCATCTGTCTTTACTCAAACCTCTCACAAACAAACGCCCTCGCGTTTCCATTTGACAATATGTTCTGTTCGGGTAGGTTTTAAAGGTGAATGTTTTCCTCCTTTTTGTAATGACAGAAATGTAGCCAAAAGATAACAGAACAGAAGCTAAACAGTGGGGAACCCTAACCAGAAATAAAATAAAATTAATAACTACACAAAACCAACATTCAATTAAGGTTGAAATGGTGCTCTGTACTCGCCTCACGTACGTGCGGTAGTCATGTCGATATTGACAATTCACAATGGTTATGATTCCTTTGTACTCCTCAAACTTCTAAGATTCCTGCCACGGCATTTCCTTGCGGTTAAACTTCAAACCTTCCTCATCGCGGTTGGTCTTGACGAGGCGGAGATCCACAAAATGGCTGTGTGATAATAAAAAAAATTAAGAACGATCCGTGATTTTCTCGTAGAAATGAGATGTGTAGATATTGAGTCTTCTACTTATGTTCTAAGCCCAGGTAACAGTTTCTAAACAGTGCGTTCAAGCTGAAATCATGATTGTAAGCGATCAAAATAAAATCTGAGAAGTTTCCAGAACTGGAGCTTTATCAAGCTTGGAAATTATGTAATTCGATGCTATTGAAAAGTAATGATCACAAAATTCGGGAATTTTAGCGAATTTAGGCCAATGAAAGAACAAGTAAATCTCGGAAGCGACTTTCAACATTCGAGTACACTGCTTCTGATATATTTCGCCAACCCATAGTTTGTACTTCAACGATGCATGTGTCACCCAACAGTCATTTTCTATCTTAGTTCAGACAATATTTCGGTCGACTCTTTCGTTGATAACTAACCTTTCAACCTCAGGAATGAAATTCGTATTTCTTTGGAATAGTGAGAATTTCCTATCACTGTCAACACCTTCAACAAGTTAAGTTCGCCGCTTCTTATTACGTAATTTCATAACAATGGACTGAATTTATACTGCAAAGTTACATAACAGTTGATGACTTTTTAGGGACTCGGGAGGGAAACCCATTAAGATCAAGTCAGATACATGTCTGTACACAGCAGTCGAAGCCAACGTAATTACCTTTAATTGTTTTAACACCGACATTTCAGCAATATCCCTCCTTCAACCATCAGGTACATGATAGTGTCTTCCCTTATTATTCCTTCAGAGGGTGTCATTTTCTCCGAGGTTGGTTCCCAGCCATGCGTCCTGTTTTGCATGACAGGCCCGTCGATGGGAAAGTTGCCTCTTTCAAAATTGGTTTTGTGCACGAGAGTGTTGCCTCTGAGTAAAACACATTTCAGAACGCAAAATGAGTAAAACATAAATGAGCAGTTGTGTAAGAATATTTTGATTCCACCCACAGGCGGCCCAAGCCGTAATATGATCGTCTTGCGCAATAACAGTCATGGCGGAATTATAAGAGATTGTATGGGAATATGTACGACCGCTCTAAGGAATGAACAAATACATCAATTTCTAAATAAAAATACCTCACCTTACTTCCACAGCGTATCGCTTGTTATCTGACCGCTTCATTTGATGAAAAAAACCCATTTTGGCGAGTTGTCCATTTCGGGGTTTTCTACGTACATAAGAAAAGCCCTTACGTACATAAAAAAAGGGAGACGAGACGAGTGACAATCCTTGTAATTATTTTTCGAACCGCTACCTTTGTGGGTGATATTCAACGTTTCAATGAATTGGCAAGTTAAGGCTGAAATCGTTTACAAGGTGGAGTTTTGCGATTGCATGGTGTAGTGTAACGATAGGGTTTGAAAACTTGATTGATCGAAAAAAGAGTAATCACCGAGTTGCAATTCGCTTACTTGCTTTGAATGAGACATCTTGAGATCCACTTTACAACCGTAGACGTGACTCTTGCCTGAGCGGGAAGAGCATTTACGCGGCTATGAAATGCAATGTCCTGAGACTACAAATGACCCACTTTGACACTTTCCTGAATTCTGTTTTGCCTTGTGCTATCTAATCCTCGCCTTGAAGAAACCAAAACCACTTAAATGCACCACTACGTGCGCCAGTTTGGAGGATTCCCCCTAAAAAAATTTACCTGTTTCCGCCCCGCATTATGTAACCATACGGCAAATTATACAACTACGTGATGTATCTGTCGAAGCTGGAGTTGAGTTGCTACGTGAATAATGTTTTGATAAAAACGCCTTATCATACTGCAAAATAGAGGGTTTTTGTCTGCACAAGTATAATACAGGTATGTCTAATAGACAATTAAAAAAGGTACGTGACGGATTTTCGTTAATTGTACCGCTGCAATCCAGTTTGTAAAAACGATTCTTTATTTATCTCTTGTCTAGACTTCGCATGATATTTCTGTTACTGTTTGATAAATTCCCTTTCGATCTTTCAATCTGGTTGATGTTTTTCTCTGATCTATCATCAAGGCTCTTCTGAATACTCCGTAAATTTCACTTTTACACTAAACATATTAGGATTACTTTTAAAGGTTTTTAATCCTATAATTTTTTTAACGAATGAGTACTTTCTGAAATATGTGAGTAAGGCGTTAAAAATTT